GCACAGATGTGAAAGTGACTCATAGGAAGTCATGTTAAAAGGACTGTAGTGCGTTTCTGCAAATCTAAAAACGCACTGCACGATGCATAGGTGTGAACCTGGCCTCAATGGACTGTAGTGTGTTTCTGCAAATTGGAAAGTACACTGGATGTGAACTGAGACTTAGTAAATCTACCCCATTTTTTGGCAAAGGACTTGTTTTACACAATTAACAAGGAATAGTGTATATATATATATATATATATATATACAGTATATATATATATATATATATACAGTATATTGCCAAAAGTATTGGGCCAGCCCTCCAAATCATTGGATTCAGGTGTTCCGATCCCCTCCATGGCCACAGGTGTATAAAGTCAAGCACCTAGGCATGCAGACTGCTTCTACATACATTTGTGAAAGAATGGGTCGCTCTCAGGAGCTCAGTGACTCCAAGCGTGGTCCCGTGATAGGTTGCCTCCTGTGCAATAAGTCCATCCGTGACATTTCCTGGCTACTAAATATTCCACAGTCAGCTGTTAGTGGTATTATAACAAAGTGGAAGCAACTGGGAACAACAGCAACTCAGCCACCAAGTGGTAGGCCACGTAAAATGACAGAGCGGGGTCAGCACATGCTGAAGCGCACAGTGTGCAGAAGTCGCCAACTGTCTGCAGAGTCAATAGCTAAAGACCTCCAAGCTTTGTGTGGCCTTCAGATTAGCACAACAACAGTGCGTAGACAGCTTCATGGAATGGGTTTCCATGGCCGAGCAGCTGCATCCAAGCCTTACATCACCAAGTGTAATGCAAAGCGTTGAATGCAGTGGTGTAAAGCATGCCGCCACTGGACTCTAGAGCAGTGGAGATGTGTCCTCTGGAGTGACCAATCACGCTTCTCTGTCTGGCAATCTGATGGATGTGTCTGGGTTTGGCAGTTGCCAGGAGAATGGTACTTACCTGACTGCATTGTGCCAAGTGTAAAGTTTGGTGGAGGGGGGATTATGGGTGTGGAGGTGTTTTTCAGGGGTTGGGCTTGGTCTTAGTTCCAGTGAAGAGAACTCTTCAGGCGTCAGCATACCAAGACATTTTGGACAATTTCAGGCTCCCAACTTTGTGGGAACAGTTTGGGGATGGCCCCTTCCTGTTCCAACATGACTGCACACCAGTGCACAAAGCAAAGTCCATAGAGACATGAATGAGCGAGTTTAGGGTGGAGGAACTTGACTGCATGCACAGAGTCCTGACCTTAGGGTTGCCACCTCATCTCTTTAAAACCCGAACACAGATCAATTACACCGGTTCTATGTCTGATTTAATGCAGATAAGGCACTGAGTTTAATTACCACCTTAATCAACCATAGAACCTGTGAAACTAATATGTGTTTCAGTTTTAAAGGTATGAGGTGGCAACCCTACCTAACCTCAATGCGATAGAATTGATGAGCCTAGTTCGGGGTGGAGGAACGGAGAAGCTTATACCAAAAATCTTGCGGGCTCCATCTTGGCAACGACTTGACTCCTGCTGACTGGCCTGCACAGAGTCCTGACCTCAACCCCATAGAACATCTTTGGGATGAATTAGAGCGGAGACTGTGAGCCAGGCCTTCTCATCCGACATCAGTGCCTGACCTCACAAATGTGCTTCTGGAAGAATGGTCAAACCTTCCCATAGACACCCTCCTAAACCTTGTGGACGGCCTTCCCAGAAGAGTTGAAGCTGTTATAGCTGCAAAGGGCGGGCCAACTCAATATTGAACCCTACGGACTAAGACTGGGATGCCATTAACGTTCACTGTGTGTGTGTATAGGCAGGTTTCATTTCATTTAAATGTCGACGGACCAATACCTTGCAGGACAATATACTATTCTGCGTGTGTTTCATATATATACCAGGGATATTATTTATGGGTTGCAAACTTCTTTATTTGTGGACAAAGGCAAATTTAACCTTGTTTGCCACAATTTTTTTAGCTCAACAGTTCTCGTCTCCCTTTCTGTTTGTGGGCAAATTATTGCGCGTAGGGATTTTATTGCAGTTGCATTGCGTTGTAACATTTAGTGTGTATGGCGCCACTTTTCATTTGATTCACAATAGGAATATAGCTACCTATTGTGGAGGCACGAGCCATTTGATTTGATTCACAATAGGAATATAGCTACCTATTGTCGCCTGAGGCCTCCGTCTTTTTCTTCAGTAACATTGTGTTTTGTAGAGTTAATATTTGTTTGGCAGGAAAGCGGTCTCCATGTTTGTTAGGGACACGTACAACATGGACATCTAGTGCAAAGGAAACCCGAGACCTTCTAGTGTTAGATACATGTTTAGGTCAACATTGCTCCAGGCTAGAAGTAAATCCGCAATAATCCAAATCAAATGTAACAAAGATTGAACACGTCGACTTCCTGTCAATTTATGGAGCATAATAAAAATACACAGTTGTCAGCATTAAAAGGTGTATTGTGCCGATGTCACGGATTTATGTGGGGTACATAGAATGACACCCTATACACAACCAATACCAGTATTTTAAAGTGGAACTCCAGTCTGTGTAAAGCTTTATTATTATAGGCGGATATTAAAACACAGATCACTTGGTATTCATTAATACATCCTTAAAAGTATATATTTTTAAGTGGAAGCAGGGTAAGTATGTGAATTTGGAGCTCAGACTGGGGAGGGAGAAGCAGCACAAGGCGCCAATCAGTTCATGTGTTGATAAGAAGCATGCTGATAGGAGGAGAGAGTACAGTGACATATAAATTAGCTCATCACTGCACTGCTTCTCCTTTCACTGTCCAGTCACAGGTTTGGGAGGGACAAGACATGTGTTACTTAACCCCTTGGTGTGGGTGTCTCCTGGCCCTTTAAGGGGTTTCAGATGCTGGGAGGCGGGGCAGGGTTTCTGATCATGTGACCTCCGTGATTGGCTATCACATGGGTCATATGATCAGAAAGCTCTGATTGGAGCTTTCTTTTAGCCACCGGTAACTATGCTGGGAGCATGCAAGTTGTGTTCAGTTCCTGAGCTCTATTCAATGCTGTGCGTGCTTCCTGCATCTGATCCAGAAATGTTATGACAGCTCCCGCTCTCTGTTCAATGCTGTGCTGTGTTTCCTGCATCCGATCCAGAAATGTTATGACAGCTCCTGCTCTCTGTTCAATGCTGTGCTGTGCTTTCCGCATCTGATCCACAAATGTTATGACAGCTCCCGCTCTCTGTTCAATGCTGTACTGTGTTTCCTGCATCTGATCCAGAAATGTTATGACAGCTCCTGCTCTCTGTTCAATGATGTGCTGTGCTTTCCGCATCTGATCCACAAATGTTATGACAGCTCCCGCTCTCTGTTCAATGCTGTGCTTTCTGCATCCAATCCAGAAATGTTATGACAGCTCCCGCTCTCTGTTCAACGCTGTGCTTCCAGCATCCGATCCAGAAATGTTATGACAGCTCCTGCTCTCTGTTCAATGCTGTGCTGTGCTTCCCGCATCCGATCCAGAAATGTTATGACAGCTCCCGCTCTCTGTTCAATGCTGTGCTGTGCTTCCCGCATCCGATCCAGAAATGTTATGACAGCTCCCGCTCTCTGTTCAATGCTGTGCTATGCTTCCCGCATCCGATCCAGAAATGTTATGACAGCTCCCGCTGTCTGTTCAATGCTATGCTGTGCTTCCCGCATCTGATCCAGAAATGTTATGACAGCTCCCACTCTCTGTTCAATACTGTGTGGTTATTCCACACTGGCTCAAGAAATGTTCTGTCTCCTGCTGTCCTCTCTGCTGTTTTAACAGCGGCGAAGGATGGGAGGAAGAAGCGGCTCTGTTCAATGGTGTGCTGTGCTTCCCACACCCGATCCAGAAATGCTCTGCTCTCTGCTCTAAGGTAGGGGAGTGAAGTGGGGCCGGGGACACTACTCTGGCCATGTGTGATGTTAAGGGGGGGCAAAATGTGAAAAGGGGCAGTGCTGTGTGCATGTGGTGGTGGTGTAAAGGGGGAGCAGTGTTGTGGGGGAATGTGAAGGGGGCACATTTCTGCTGGGGGTTATGTGAAGGGGAAGGGGACAGTACTGTGGGAGAAAAATGTGAAGGGGGCAGAGAACAGTAGTGTGGGGCGGGGTGATTATTTGAAAGGGGGTTGAGGACTGCTGAAAAAAAAAATGCGGTTTGGACCTCTGTTGGAAGAAAATTTACTTGTTGGCTCTCCATGAATTTTAATTCATTGCCCCTGCTATATACTTAGTTACATTGACTCAAGCTTGTAGGTAGGTGAATTCTTCTTTAGCTACTGCAGATGGCACTCAACCGAAACAGTTCTGCAGCCTGGAGAGGGAGAACATGGTTTCTCTATGTTTCCCTGGGCCCTGAAGGCAGTGTTCTGCTTGCTTGGCTACGCTGCATCCAGGTGACTGGCAAAGGTGTACGTACAGGGGTCGCAATTGCGACCCTGGCCCCATGCTCTAGGGGGCCCGTGCAGCCCCCTGTACACCTGGATTGGAGGGGCAGCAGTATGTAGAGGAACTGATCCCCTCCATTTTTCTACTGCAGCCTCTCAGCAACTGCAGGGGAAAAATGATGGGGACTGGTTCCTCTACCAGCCACTCCTGCCTCCCCTCCTATCCATCTTCGGCTGCTCTGGGCTCCTGTGTAGTCCCCTGCCGCCCTCCCCCCTCATCCCCCACAGCATTACCATGCTCCCCCCCCCCCCCCCGCCCTCTCCCACCATTTGCTGCAGGGGATCTGTCAGGATGGAGAATGCGTAAGGGGCCGGTAAATGTGTCAATTACCAGCCCCTTCCTTGTGATAATAAAATGTTACTAAACCCAGGACCCTGCATTCACTATATATGGTCTCCCACAGTACACACAACATGGAAATGCAATTATTTTAGTAACTATAAACTGCTAAATACCTTTTTTCATCAGCAGTTAGAGCAGTCTTGTGACTTCAGCAGAACACTGGTTAAAGCTTGTAGGAGGAGTTTTCTTTCTGCTCTAGAAGGATGTCAAACCTCTGACCTCTGTCTGGACAATGCTGATTGGCCCTGTTCTGATCACATGCACTCTCCCTGAAAAAAAAAAAACCTCTCTAGCAATACACACCAAACTGAGCATGTGCATGTATGTATGGATTTAGTCTGTATCAGGTGTACCCTGGAGGCTGACGTACCTTGGAGGATGCCGTACGCTGGAGGATGATGTACTCTGGAGGATGATGATGTACCGTGGAGGCTGGTATACCCTGGAGGATGACGTACACTGGAGGATGATGTACTCTGGAGGCTGATGTACGCTGGAGGATGATGTACTCTGGAGGATGATGTACCGTGGAGGCTGATGTACCCTGGAGGATGATATACTCTGGAGGATGATGTACCCTGGAGGATGACTTACCCTGGAGGATGATTAACCCTGGAGGATGACGTACCCTGGAGGATGATGTACCCTGGAGGATGATGTACCCTGGAGGCTAACGTACCTTGGAGGCTAATGTACCTTGGAGGCTAATGCTGGAATGTACCCTGGAGGATGATGACCCTGGAGGATGATGTACCCTGGAGGATGATGTACCCTGGAGGATGATGTACTACCCTGGAGGCTGACATACCTTGGTACCCTGGAGGATGATGTACCCTGGAGGCTGCTGATGATACCCTGGAGTTACCCCTGAGTGCCATTGAACAACCTGTTGCGGTGATATATGCTTCAAAGGATGGTGATGGATGATACTGACAACATGCTGCTGTAAGACCACCTATAATTTAGGGTCTTATCACTTGGCTGCAATTGGTCTTGGTGTGGAATTCACAGGGCGGCTTGTTGCCATTCACGAGTGAAAACATATTGCAAGATTTGCAATGATGGTGGAATCCTCCTACACATAACTACTTATTGTATTTGGACATTTACATAAAGGCAGTGGGCTTCCATCAGGATCTATGTTTATCGATTTATGATTTGATATTTTTTCTTTATTGGTGTGTCACTGTGGAATAGTGGCGTCATCCTCTGAATTTTTTTTTTTCGTCATGTTTATGTGCATTTATGATGTTGGGACACATCACATTTTTTAGAATAATATTATGATCCTTTGTATTGGGGGTACTATGATGGAGTAACTGATCTATATATGTACCCTGATGGGAGCAACTACTCAATGGGGGTACTGTAATGGGGGCGACTAATGTATGGGGCAGGGGTGGACTGACAACTCATGGGGCCCTGGGCAATAGGGGATCATGGGGGGCCCGTGTCCTTGCCCAAAGCACACCCAAGAAAGCCTATAAAAAAGGTACCAGGGGCATCTCATGGGGCCCCCTACTGACCCCAGGCCCTCGGGCAGTGCCCGAGTTTCCAAATGGTCAGTCCGCCCCTGGTATGGGGGCACTTTAATGGGGGAGAACTTATCTATGGGGACACTGTGATGGGGTAAACTAATCTATGGGGCACTGTGATGGAGGAAACTAACATATGGGGACTCTATGATGGGGGCAACTAATCTATGGGGCACTGTGATGGAGGAAACTAACATATAGGGGCTCTGTGATGGGGGCAACTAATCTGTGGGGCACTGTGATGGGGGCAACTAATCTATGGGGCACTATGATGGGAGCAACTAATCTATGGGGACACTGTGATGGGGAAAACTAATCTATGGGGCACTGTGATGGGAGCAACTAATCTACGGGGACACTGTGATGGGGGAAACTAATCTATGGGGCACTGTGATGGGTTAACTAATCTATGGAGGCATTCTGATGGGGCAACTAATCTCTTGAACACCTTTCAGAGCACCTGTAAATAAAATGAGTTTCCATGGGGTAAGCTTAAATCTTCATTCATCAGTTGTGGTTTGTCAGTAAAGCAACCAGATCCAAGACTGTGGATATAAGGATCCATTGTTACTTTTCTATGACACCTTGAGACTGTGTTCTCAGCACTGAACCATGTTAATGATAATAGTGCAATATTTACTGGTAAACATGACATTCTTAGGTGGCGACTGTGTAAATCCTTCAGTCTATCCAAACAAGGAGTCACGTCTATAATAGGCCCAACCACTGAGGAGTTCCTTGTAGGACCTACAGATATGAACTTGTGTACCTTAAAGGGATCTTAATGCGAAACTATAGGCTTTTATATCTGTATGGTGTTCAAGTTGGGTTTTAATCAATCTGGTGTCGATCTCCTGTTCCCCCACAGATGAGTTCCTAAGTGATCTTCACTAGGCCAGAGCACTATCAGATCTGAAAGGGGAAAGAGGGGTGGGGGTGGGTGGGCATGCTTACTCCTGTGCAAGTTGGAACTCGCGCAGAAATTTCATGGAGATCCAGCTGCAGAGTAGGTGGAAGAGAAAGGTACCTCCTATCTATTGGGTCCTAAAAGTAGTGAACCAATAGGTATATAGCATCGGTTAATCTCCCTGGCGGTCTAACTAATCAATATTTTTGAATGTCAAAGCGGTACATTTTTTTGCATGGAAATGTGTTGTTTTGTATTGTAGGCCTGTAATTCTTACGAATAACTCACTGAAATCTGTCCGAACAAGAGTCTAGTAAACATCCCGGGTATGATAAAGTTTGAAACACAAAATCATAAATTATAATATAATAATTGTAAAAAATAATATAATAATACATTTACTTCATTAATGTAATCAAACCAAAAACACTGAAATTTGAAATAGAGCACCAAGTTCGCACATCACTGAGCAAAGTCGCAGAATCGTTTTCAGTGTCTGATGATGAATTTCCCCATGAATCATTATCACTCAATTCTGCAAGTGGTTCTAATTTACTATCGCTGTTCTCTAGCTGGTCTAAAACCGCTTTTGACCTAAAGGGACGCTTTTTGGACGCCGTGGACATTTCTCAGTTTCCAGGCAGAAAGAACAGTAAAAATGCAGGCAGGGCGCCGGACAAAGCACTCGGGACAAAATGTATGTGAAATGGTTTGATACAGTAGTGTAATCCTAACAGATTACAGTGTATTGTGTGTATGTCAAATTTTTACTTTTTTGAATCTCAAACCAGTTCTGCCCCCCCCGTACGTCACGATGGAACCCGGAAGACGGATGCCAGCATCGGCCAGCGGACATGGCTGGGGGACACAGCAGGAGGACCTAGCAGGATCGCAGGACAAGGTTAGGCTCGAGGGATTGCTGCAGTGTAATCCCGAGTGTGGCTCGGGGTTACCGCTTTTGGTACTGAAATTAACCCCGAGTCACACTTGGATTACCGCCAGGAAGGTTAAAGACACCTGACAAGTAAAAGAAAAAGGAAAAAAAAAAAGGAATAAACTGTATTCCTATTTTACCATATATTAATCTTTTGTTAATTCTAATCAATCCTAAATAATTCCCTCCTTCCCTTCTCCCCTTAGCTATTATTTTGGTGCTGATATTTTTAATTAATATACATATTTTTTATCATTAGTCTTTAAACGTATTTGTTTTTAATAATTTCATTTAATATTTTTTTTTTAAGTGACTAATTAAAAAAGTGTAACAGTGAAAAAAACTAAAACTCCCTTAAGTTAATTTATAAATCCCTTTGGCAAGCTCTTTAATAAAGATTTTATTTTAAAGCCACTAAAAGTGAGACCAAATATAGAAAACACCGTGCTTCTTCATCTACAGCAGTGGTTCTCAACCTTCCTAATGCCGCGACCCTTTAATACAGTTCCTCATGTTGTGGTGACCCCCAACCATAAAATTATTTACCCAGTAATTATAATTCATGAAGTGTCGTTTTACCTCCAATACTGCTGCTTTCTACACAGTAGCTGCTTTTAACAGAGTGCTGCTTTCTACACAGTAGCTGCTTTCAACAGAGTAGCTGCTTTCTACACAGTAGCTGCTCATTACACATCGGAAATATGTTTTTCCCGATGGTCTTAGGCGACCCCTGTGAAAGGGTCATTCGACCCCCAAAGGGGTCGCGACCCACAGGTTGAGAACCACTGATCTACAGGAACTCTCGTTTAAAAACTAACACTGGTCAAACTTGGAAAAAAAATTAATTTTGTAACAAAAAAAAACCCAAAACGTTTTGTTACATATTTTGTCAATAGATTGCATTGCACAGAAAATAAAATAAAGCCGGCCATACACGGGTCGAATCCCAAAATAATTTTCTTTCGAAAATCTTTTCTAAGAATTTTCGTTCAAATTTCGCACCACTAGTGGGTCCCAGAAATGGCCGATATTTGTGTGACCATCGAATTTGAGTGATGAAGCATGTTGGAAATACTTTGAAAAACTAACAAATTTCGAATCAATGATGGGGGAGAATCGTGCGAGAAATATAAACGAAAAAGAAATAAGCGTGAGCTGTGACCTGGAAATAAAAGAAAATTATTTTCTGTAGCAACATGAGATGAAATTGAAGGCTTGGTTGGTTCAATTTCGAAATCAATGGTGGCACCATCGGATTACAAAACGCACAAAATTTCCGATTTTTAAAAAAAAAATTTATTCAGAATTCGACCCATGTATGGCCTGCATAATTCTTGCAAGACATTATTGCCCACAGAAAGCCTTTTGTGTACCAAAAACTATGTATTACTACTTTTGACAAACCTATTGTTGAATTAACAGTCCCATATCTTAAAATATATGTAAACCTTCACCATTATTATTATTATTATTATACAGGATTTATATGGTGCCAACAGTTTGCTCAGCGCTTTAAAATATAACGGGAAACAATACAGCAATAATACAGTTCAATACAAGAGGGTTAGGAGGGCCTGATCCTGGGAGCTTACAAACTAAGAGGGAGGGGCTGGTGGTACAAAAGGTAATAACTGTGATGAACTGATAGGAGGAATAGAAGATTTGGTTATTAGCTGAAGGTGGGGTAGGTTTCCCTGAAGAGAGAGGTTTTCAGAGATTGCCCAAAAATTGGCATATTAGGTCATAGTCAGATAGATTGGGGTAGAGAGTTCCAGAGGATGGAGGAGGCTCTGGAGAAGTCCTGGAGATGAGCATGGGAGGAAGAGACAAGGGAGCTAGAGAGCAGGAGGTTGTGTGAGGAGCAGAGAGGACGGTTTGGGTGATATTTGGAGACAAGATCGGTGATGTAATTTGGGGCAGAGTTATAAATGGCTTTATA